AAGAATTTGGTTGCTATGGTAAACAGTTTGGTTGCTAGGGAGTGGTTAGTGCTGTCATAAAATATTGTAAGTTGGTAAGAAGTAGAAGAAAAAGTCAAATATTAAGGGAAATTGAATCTTACCTCTTTTAACTTCAGTATAGTATGATCCAACCAAATTATGCTACTCCTCTAATCCAGAGGTTTCAAAACAGGCAGAAAAAAATGTTTGTGCTTATTTTTTATTCAGACATCCATTTATAAAAAAAATACATGGGTCTGTCACTGGTTTAAGTTCGTAATAGTCAGGTAACATCATATTTTTAAGATTACTCACAGAAACACTTGATTTTTCTCTCTGCAGGAGACAACACTGGATGGGCGGACATCTTTGATAGCACCTTTAAAAAGGCAGAGTCACATGACCTTCCAAACATCTGCTGTATGTATCCCCATAATTCATGATTTTTCCTTAAATTTGGTCTGAAAAAGAGCAGTAGTTTCTGCAACCATATTTTCAATGGCTATTTTTAAACAGCTTTTATTTACTTTTCTCAGAGTTTATCTGATTTATGTATTTGGCCTTCAGTGGTGCCCAAGATGCATTTTAAGTCTGAAATCCCTTGGCTAGTTTTTATAGGAGCTTTACTATCTTATTCAAGCTAAAAAGTTTGCAAATACATGAGCTGTCAGAGGTTATTTGCATATCTTAGTCAGGGATTCTCTGTGTAATGACCAGAAAAAGAACTTCTTTTGTTTATGAGGTGGTCATCAGTATACTGTAGTATTAATGAGTACAAGGCATAAATATTAATTGGTTGTTATTTGCTGAGTAACCATTCTGTAAAATCAGGGTTATGAGCATAAGCCCTAGAAACTTTGCTGACTACTGTAATTTGTTTGTTGTTGATCAATGAGTTTATTAGCAAAAAGTGTTTGTCTCCGAGAAACACAACTAAAAATGTATGAACAGCAAGCTAGGCTTTGACATGTTGCTTTTGTAAAAGAAAAAGAGCAAAATCTCAAGCCAGCAATGCTAAGAATATATGCCATTATTTATACTTCAGTGCCCTGTTTCCCTAACTGTGCACTTCCAAAAATTCAGTTGCTGTCGGGTTTTCTATGTTCTGCTGTGTGGAACTCTTCCCTTCCGTGTTTTTGTATTTTGTTGATCAAATTATTTAACTATTTAAATTACCTTTAACTGACAACTCTTGTACTTGGTTGAAGAACCGTTGCTCAGATTAGCTTAACAGAAAACCCTACCAATACGACAATGCTACACGATGCTACAATTAGCCTTAATGCATTTTTGCTGTATGGTCCTCAAGATAACCTTGATGACATTTCGCCCCCATGCTTTTCTTAAAAGAAGAAGATATTGACATGATTGCCATTTTTTTTGTTGTTAAATGAAAATTTTGCTTGTAGGGAATTTCAGTTTTTTTTTTCCAGGGGTTCTAAGATAAATATTAACCTTTAGAAGTCTGGTGCCTTTTCAGGGTTTTTACCACTTCACAATTTACTCCAATAAATTATCTTTAAAACAGTTTTTGTGGTAACACTTTACAGCTTTTTTTACCAATATTTTCATTACATTACACAATAAATCCACATCAAACCTGAAATTGTACAAAAAATACAATTCAGAGTATTATACATTGTCATTGTTTCATTGCAGACATCTCACAAGTTGAGATCAAAAATCAAAATAGGTAAAATAAAAATGTATAAATCCCTCAAAAGGTCAAAACTATGTGAAAATTGTATATAAAAGAACATACACTGTTCCAAACAAAATCCATCACAGGTATTGTACTTCCAATAGTTGTCCCTTTTCTATACTGGATGCCACTGATGGCAGTGATTTGGGGTCTGAAACCGAAAAACGCGAATTACAATTTTTCACATTTTAATTTGAACTACCTTGCAAATTATGTGTCATGAGTCTTGTAATGTTTGTTTAAACCACCTAAACATTATATTTTAAAGCTAAATGAAACGACGGGTGAGTCGCGTCATTTGTTCTTAATTCAAAACAGCTGGTGTGATTGGCACACGCACCGGCACAGACTTCTAAAGGTTAAATAACCAAATAGTATTTATAGACATGTTTTTTCAAACCCCTTTTAACCTTTAAAGTTGATTCTTGAACTTCATTGTTGTCAAGTTTATGAATATACCTCATTTCCACTGTGATTTGTGTGTAATCGGGCAAACTTTCAAAGGCCACCAACGAATCCGGGGGCTGAGTGTCGAATTAGTGAGTTGGAGCTTTTAGAAAACAGAGGTGTCTTCTACATTATATAGTATATATTAAATAGTATATTCTATTTTGAATATTACAATAGTTTTTTCTGTAACATGATTTCTGTGTTTTACATTCATTGAACAAATGTGAAAATGGAATTTTGACACCCAGCCCCTGTAAAAAGCATCCTTCAGTTCCAGTTACAGAGCAATCTGTACACTTTAGCTGCACTTTTTAAAATGTCAATTTTTTTGCTATTTTTAATTAGGATAAACCAGGCCAAAAAGAACAACACTGATTGGTCGGAAAGAATCATCACTTAATGCTGTTGTAAAATGGAAATGACGTTTCCACATTAGATCATAAAAATATCCTTTTCTTCTACAGTTTCCATTGTTCCTTGTGTGCGCTAAGTGTTGTGCTTTTTTGTAGATTTCACTATAGTCACTACTTTTATATCTACTATGACCTGCACTATATGCACATTTTAAAATTACTGGCAGACATAATGTGTTGGTTTTCAGAAGATGTGCACTTAGAACTTATTTTTGGAAAAACCATAGCTCATTAGAATTGAACATAAAATTCATATACTCTTCTTTTAAATATAAAACATGTAGATTGGGAGTGATTGAGAGGTCATTTGATCACTTTTACTTATTTTTGTTTGGACTGGCTAACATTTTGAAGTTACATTTTAAATAAAAACTTGTTCAGCCCCTTAGTGTAGTGCACTTGTGTATCTCTCCAAACCATTAAGGCATTGGCAAAAAAAAATGAAGTAAAATGTAAAGCCTTGATTTATGAGATTTTATACTATCAAAAGTGTTTTTAAATGTATTTTTTATTTCTCTCATATAATTTTAGAGTATTAATAATAACAGTTTTTCATAGCCGTAGCAAAGGAAATTAAAAGGTCTACACCATAAAAGATCTTCCGGCAGTTCTCCGGCAGCTCATTAACACAGCACTGAACAAAAGCGACCACAAATAACCGTCGCTGATGAGAATCATGTTGTAATTATATGCTAACCGCTAAAGCCAAAAATGATTTGGTTTGTACTTTTGGGTCTTAGAAGACGGTGCAAATACCAGTAAAATGACTTGGACAAACCTGACTAAGCATGATTAGCTGAAACGTTGTCCCCTTAGAAGATGTGCATCTCAATAGAACCCTCCTACAAATGGATATGAACCAAACCCAGCCAACGAATAGCGCTGTCAACTCCCTTTGATTACTTGTGTTCTGTAATGAATCCTGACATCTGTTTTGAAAGCCCAGCGAGAGGTTTTGGGCATGTTACCAGCTGTTGCTATCAATTACTATAAAATGCCATTCACAGATTGTGTTTGTTTTTCTTGTGCAGTTCTGCAGCAGTACCCGGAGAGCTGCAAGTGCAATAAGACGGAAGTGGAGTGTGTGGATGTGAACCTGCACGCCGTACCTATCCTCTCGTCAAACGTGACTTGGTTGTAAGTACATGAACCTGGGAACCATCTTAGGAACTTCTCTCCCACAAGGCATTATTAGTGTGTGGCTTGGGAAGAGGAGAAAGAGTTTGACATCAGAGAGACGAAGACTTTCATTATAGAGCCATAAAGCTCAACAAGATAAAGAGCTTCCGTGCTCTGAGCCATTACCACTACAAAGAAAAACAGGATTTGTGGTGTTTTGGTTTGTTGTAATAGCAACAATACTATGCTTTGTCTGTTCAGCATGTTATCCGTTTAATGGTTGTGCTCTTTAGCATTTTTTATTGTTGTCTAGACTTTGATACAATGATTTTTAAAGATGATGCATGGTTTTTATGATATTATGATATTAAAAATCAGAGGTCACCCAGGTTATATAGAAGAAAAACACTATGTGGTCTGAGAAGGCTCTATAATGGGATGCTGAAGCAGAGAATGACAGGCTCATCATTTACTTTTATGACCCTCATATGGTTTAATGCCTCTGCAGTTTTTGTGTTCAGTTGTGCTCCAGAGAAGATAGTGAAAAGCATGGTTCAGACTCCCAGTCCAAATCTGTACTTGGTGAATTCTAGTCACATTTAGGAATTGTAAAGAGAAAAAGACCAATATCTATTATCTGCATAATATTTTGCAAGAAAAATGTCTACTTTTAAGGCGTCATTAACTGAGAAACCAAAAGTATTTGATCTTTTCAAGCATGTTGATTTGGCTGAACACTAAATCTACAGCAAATGGCTTAGAATGGGGTTTTTTGTTTTGTTGGAGGTGCTCTGTTCCAGGGTGTTCCATAGCTACCAAACCACTGTTCTACCTACAATCAGAGACGTATTCTAAAAAAATTAGTGGTTAAAACGACTGAAACAAATCCTGTAATGAAAGATATTCTAATGTGTTTAACAATGCTGTGTTGGTTGTTGAAGCTCTATTAACTAGTGTTGGATATCAAGCATTTTTTGAGTGTTTTTAAGTTTTCCTAATTGAGCGTGTTACCTAAATAGTGTTGGTTTTCAGATATGCACATGCATATAACACAATTACTTTCTCCTCCTTCCTCAACTGAGCTCTATCACAAGCCTCACTGCTCACTATGATTCATTAATTTGCAAACCATTGGCCAATTAGAGAATAAATGTAGCTGAATGAGAATGAAGTTTTTGTGTTCAGTTGTGCTCCAAAGAAGATAGTGTTAGGGTTAGAGTTAGGGGTTTGGGGTTAGGGTACAACAAATTACATTGCATTTTTTGCTGGTTAAAGCTGATTTGAGATAGCCAAAATACTTAAGATAAGAAGTGTTTGGTACTAGAGTGTAGTGGTTAGTGCTCTGGACTCTGAATCCAGAGACCTTGATTCAAAACTTGTTTGGTCCTTCTTTTTTTCTGCTAACAATAAATTAGATTTCATGGTTGAGACTTCCAGTCCAAATCTGTACTTGGTACAGTCTAGTCACATCTTGCAAAGGAAAAAGATCTCTATTTATTTTTAGCTTACCTTTTTTGATCAATGAGAAACCAACAAGCACTTACTATTTTGACTTATTCTAAAAAAGAGTGTTTAAAAGACTGCATCAAATCCTGTAAATAAAAGTATTTGAATGTAATTATCAATGCCGTGCTGGTTGTTTTTACTCTAGCTCTTTTAATTAGTGTTGGATAAGCTTTTTGGATAGTGTTTTTGAGTTTGGTTTTCAACACTGTTACTCTCTCTTCCTTCCAGCTGCACTCTAACACAAGCCCACACTCTAACAAACACTTAACTTACTGATAACTATGATTCATTAATATGCAAACGGTTGGCCAATTAGAGGAGAAATGTTACTCACTTGCAGAAGCTAAGATTTAATAGACATAGTATGTGTATTTATTCAAACCAACATGATTTAAATAAAAAAAAATCAATAACAATTTTGAAGTAGAAAACACTATATGAATATAATTGAGTAAACAAAGTAATAACAAAATCCACTCAAGGATCATTTAAAAATACATGTACCCAGACAGAAATTTCCATCTTGTTTTTGATACATTTGATTCTTATGCGGATGGCAGAGTTGGCGCTAATGGGTGTTACCAATTTTTTTTTATCTTAACAATACCAGGCAGTGGTGTAGTGTGTTGGACAACAAATACATTTTCCCACTGTAAACAGCTTTTAAAGGACTTCTGTCTTAAAAGATCTGTCATTTAAAAAAAAATTAGGAGCCAGGAAAGAAGAACAGCAAGTGCCTTTTTGAATTGGGGCTTAGTATTGGTGCCAAAAGCAATATCCCAGGGTGTGAGGGTTCACAAATCACAGTGGTGTAACACCAGCTGATGGAGGAGTGGGGTCTGTATGAAGCCGGTCATTCTTTGCATCAATGAACTGCTGCTTCTGAAAATTGCTTCTCATTTGCATAAGTTAAACCTTTCCTGGCTTTGGTTGCTTGTGCCCGGACACGCCCACAATGGCCACTTTCTCTCTTGATGCCTCTTTTCAGTCAAATTATTTGTGATTACCGTACTTTCCTTTGTAACCGTTTCTTGCTTTTGCCGTGAATCACACTTCAGGATTAAAAATAAGCTCTAAATTATCCGAAGAAAAATAAAATAATTTGCACCTTATTTTGTTCAGATAATTTTCGTTGCCATTCAAACTCAAAATGGAATTGTTGGATTTCATTTTACAGTGATGCAATAGTTATTTATTATTCGACACAAACAAATTAAATAAGAATCAGGTTTAACCAAAATTGTTGAGGCAACAAAAGTGAAAATGTGTGACATAACAAAATTAAATACCATTTTCTTTGTTTTGTTTATACTTAGAATTCTTTTTGTTATGATATTTTTAACCTTTACCTTATAGTTTCTAAGTAGACACATGTATAAATACAAAATTGAGAAATGAGTTGAAAGTGCTTTGTACAATCTTTTACTTTAATGAGGTTCAATTTTCCGAAAAACATGATACTTGCCATGTAACGGTGTCCTTGATATCCACCATTCGAGTTGTTTTACAAACCATGATAAGTCCATTAGTGCAAAAAAGATGAGGTGCTACGGAGTGGTAAAAAGTCCAGCTGTCGAAAGTTTAGAATTGTTTTAAAATCATTCCAGGAACACGGAACAGAATCAGGCCATTTTCTAGTTGATCGCAGTCACAGGAGGGTGAAAAGAGAGCGGGCTGCAGATAACGCCATGGTTCGGAGCATTGTGTCGAATATCTGCACGTGTGTTCTTACACTATTTAACCAATTTGTCATTGTATTTTGAAACTTTTCATTTAAAAAGGAATAGAGATTTATGTTGATTATTTGTAGCGTTTTGTTAAAAAAAAACTAGTGCCATCACGTTTTAGGAAAAAAAAAAATCTTATTTTTAAATAAATCTTTAATTATTAAAAGCTGTATTTTACATTTTTGTGTTTGTATGCCTTTGTGGTGCTTTATTAAAGTTTGGAACATAAATTTAGATTATCCTCAAACCTCGTTTATACTAAAGAAAACACACGTTTACTCAAATTGATCAAAATGGAGATATGGCGTTTTGGGAAAGAAGGAAATTCTTCCTTTACTTACTCTACTTTGAAATAGAATATCGTTAAGATCTGTGACTTGTTTGTTATTTTGCTGTGTCTTTCCTTCATTTCATTCAGCTGCTGTTGCTTGTGACGATACACTCTGCTCACGATACGATACATACCTACCTCGATATTATGGCTACGATACGATATGCATGAAAACTGTTTTTAACCCAACATTGTTTTCTATAACAAACAACCATTGGCAAAATGGATTTAAAAAGTTTTCAAAGCTAGTTTAGAAGCTAAGAAGGCTAGGGTCTCGTTTCACCCATCCACTAGTGGGCACTGTTAATGCTAAAGTCTTATTTTTTACACTAAGTGATGGAGAGGGCTATTTTTTGTAATCTTTTTTTTTTAAATGTGAGTAATTCATTTTAATCAATTGCAAAAAAATAAACAATGACAAGACACTGTGGTGATGTGAAAACGGTTTCAGCTCACTACCTGAAAGAGCACTGGCAGTGATGTCAACAAAGCACAGGGTGGCTTCTTTGAGGGATGTAAAATATAAAACGTATAATTACGTATATTTTAACTTAAAAATTTAATGTTGTTAGAATCTATTTTCAATTCTTAAGAATCTATTTACATGAATGTAAGTATTCGTGAAAATAAATAAAAGTCTATAATAGAATTTAATCACGCAGATTGAATAATGCAAGCTTTTTTGCGATTAAAGTCTGCCCATACAATGTCTAAGCAGCAGGGAGGTTTTGTATCCTCAACTATGAGCGATCTATATTTTCATGCTCGCAGTTATCTCAGGAAACAGCCGTCAATTACCACTCCTCTGAAATCATTTAGTTTCGCTTAGTCATACTTTCACTTAGTACAGAAATCTGTACATATTGTCTTTGAGATAATTGCTTTTCTTTGCTGATAAACTTGTTTGCTTGGTTTGCTGCTTGGTTTGCTGATAAGCTTGGACGTGATGTATGATGTAGTCAAACAGAATCACAAAATTAGCAGCAGTCTCCCCGTAAATCCCTGTCAACAACTCCATCTTGATTTTTTTTGTAATTATTTAAAGCGTATCATAAAGTACTCAGCCTAAACTTTTTTTTTCTCAGAAACACTGAACTAAAGGTAAATGAACAACTCATTTGGCCACCATTTAATCTTTACCAAATGAAAAGACAAAAGACTTTTTAAAAACCACAGTAAAGTCTGTGTACTATGATAACCAGGCGACAGGTCACAGTGTAAGACAACATCTGTATAACGTAATCTGTATAACGTAATGTTTTGTGCAGGTGTATCATCACAGTATGATTCGCACAGGAATACCTAGGAGATATCTAAGGATATTTTAGGAAATATAACATGTATTGCTGCCACATCATTGCCATTAAAGTCCCCTGCAACCAATCACCACAATGAACCTAGAACCCAATCACAGATCACACCCAATCTAGCACTAGTCCTTCTAGCTCCCGAAGAATTGAACTCACTTGCTTCCCCTCTTCTTCCTCCAGAGTTGTTACAGTCGCACGTTGTTTTCGATTGTTATTGTTGTGGGAAAAATTTCATCACAGATAGAAACCATCAATCAGGACATTTCACAGTTTAAACATGGAACCTTTAACAGAAGCATGTACGCGGGTTCTAGCTAAAATGCTAAGACATTACTATTAATGTTAGAAGAGAACAATTCCACAACAGATTTCTCTTTATGTGACGCTAAAAGAGTCAGGTTGTTAAGGGTTAAAAGCTAGATCCAGCTAGATTGAGTTAGTCAATACACAAGTTATTATATTGAATTATTATATGTGAAGAAATGCATTCTCTTAACGCAGCTACTTCCATTTTTCTTTTGAAATTTTTTATTATTGATGCTTTTGTTCTCTTGGCCTCATTAAATGGAAACTTTTATGTTTTATTGTGTTTTATCTTTTATGATGGATGCTTACGATGTTCCATTTTTTGCGAATACATTAATTTGTATCTTTGGATGGAAACGTGGCTAGTGTTGTCAATCAAAATATGGATCACTGGATTCAATGAATTGTATTATGACATTTCTATATATTATCACTTATAAAGTTTATTTGAACTTATTGGAGTGGCTGAGATATAATTAAAATCCACAGAAAGGTGAGTAAAAACAAGACATATTAAATTCAGCAATCCATTTTTGAGTATGTTACTTTTAAGTGCCTCTGGAAAAGAGTTCTAAAGATTTTGAAACCTTTTAGAAATAAAGGTCATGTCTGTAATTGATTTTTTTTTTGTACATCTGTAGGTCTCTGAAGAATAATTGCATCAAGGACTTGGATGATTTCGCCTTTGCCAAATACCCACTGCTGCAGAGACTGTAAGTAGATTTTAATCACTTCTGTAGAACCAATTATGGATAAAAAAGTGATATTGAGTGTTAATCAACTTTAACAATATATATATATATAATAATATATATATAATTTTTTTTTTTTTTTTTGAAAAAGAGGCATTGACAGCATCAATATAGTGTCCACTTTTCCATTCTTCATCTATCGTCAAACTCCGGTTGACACTGAAAATGAAAAGTGCAGTAAAATGTCCAGGATGTGATAAACAAAAGTCTGTTGAGGCTGGTTCTCTGGTGGAAAATCTTCTCATAACTAATCTTTTTGGTGGTTAGCCAGCACAGCAAAGAAGATGGTCTTCCATATGCAACTTATTTGGAACCTTAAACCTAGATCGGAGGTTTTTTATGGAGTGACTTTAATTAGTCTTGAATATTTGTTCACTTGGTTTTTAGTCACTTTATGTGAAATCTTGTGAAAAGCTGTATTTATACAACATTGCAATTTTCCACAGCTAAATAACTT